CGGGCTGGGGGGGCCCCCCCCCCCCCGAGTGCACAAATTTTTGTGCACCGGGACTCTAGTCCTAGCTAATAAAAGAGTAATATGCAAATTAACCATCATTTCGCCGTAAAGATGGCAGCACCCACAGCCAATAAGGAGGGAATATCCAAATTGACGCCACATTGTGAGAGGCAGAAGGTGGAGAGGCGGCCGGGCCGGAGCAAAGGTATGCCAGCAGCCTTCCAGGGGAAGGAAGGCCTATTCTTGCACGAATCTTCATGCATCGGGCCTCTAGTTGTAATATAACTCTGTTGATGAATCTGCCTCTCCCACCACTGTACTATTTAACTCCTTGCCGATAGTATAGTACCTTGTAAACTTCAACAATTGAAGTTGAATATTCCTTAAATATGTCTTAATCACCCTATCCTCCAATAGCCCACACTATCCTTGTCCTTTAAGATAGATATCTACTAAAATATTATAGCAACCATGTTAGGGTAGAAGAAAGCTGTTGAAGAAATAAAATTAAGGAAATATTTCTTAGACCAGAATAAAAATAATACTAAAAGCCTATAAGTCTTAACATTGTTTAGAAGTGAATTTTTATTTTGATGATCAAGAAGAAAAGAAAACTATATTTAACACATTAAGAAGTTGATTCCGGTCACATGAATCTAAATATATAGTACAGCTAAGGGCTCCAGTGACCTACACAGACCAGAATTGCTCTTGTGACTAAAAGGCCTAAGACAAACTTTAAAGGCTTGAAATATTTAGACTAGTTTTGCAACAGTCAAGCAAGCATTTTCCAGTTTGTATAATATCAGAAGCCTCTGAAAAGTATCAAACGATTATACCAAGATGCTGGTCTTTGCTTGGCCCTTGACATCTCCAACACCTCCCAAAATATTCCCCAGGATCTGATTCAGATGAGTCATTCTTTAAAGCTGATAAAAGTAGACATAGCTGGATGACACAAAATTTCATCATCCTGAGCCTGAAGATCCTCTTCGCACCATAAATTATTTCTAAACCATTGTTCTGACGTCAAAGAAAGATAGATGCAAATATGTAAGGTGTGGAGAGGTGTTTGCTGACACTGCATGCTGAGCTTGAGTAATGGTAGGCTCAGCATCAGGAACAGCAGTTCCCATTCAGG